CCGAGCTCAACAGGGCGATGCTCGGCTTTCTGGCTTCGATTATTAAGCTGGAAAGAAGAGTCACTTCGTGGTCTATTTAGTGCTGTTGTTTCAAGTAGCGGTTAGGGGGGTGGATTTGGGTGTTGAAAATGGTCCCTGAGGGCACCATTAAAGTCCTATCTAGTCTTTTACTGTCTACACACCACAGCTAATATTAATGATATCAATGACTGTGAGGTTATACCAAGTTCTACCTCCTTCCTCTGCTTCTACTTTATTAGAATCTCAGGTATTATGTCTTCATGGTCTCCATCCAATTCTGAAACAATTTTGACTAGTACATATCTGGGTGAAAAGAACCAGACAAGGAAAACCTCCACCCCCTGAGCAGGAAACCAACCAATCCCTAAGCATGAAATCTAGCACCCTGACACCGAACCCAGAGCCGGCGAAAGAAACACACCCAGAATCTAAAACCAGAGCCAGTGAAAGAAACACTTTATCCCTGAACCCAGAACCAAAGAAGCCCACCCTGACTCTGAAACCAGAGCCAAAGGAACACACCTTTGTCCTTAGAATCAGAGCCAGTAAAAGAAATATGCCCTTGCCCTAAAATTAAGAGTCAAAAGGCTAAAAAGGTCCAGTGAAAGAAATACAGTTTGGCCTTGAAATCAGAGCCATCTCTGCCCCTGACCAACTAAACTAACCAATCACTGAGCAAAAAAACTAACCAATCCCTGGAGCAGAAAAAGTTCTTGGAAAACTCTGCCCCTAAGAAGTCCTATACATGGGGCCTTGGTGGCACACACCTTTTGTAATGATTTCAGCCACATAACGCTGATATGTCCATGTTCTAGGGACCATGCCTGTGCAGACAAGCCCTCACGCAGAAGTGGCTAATGACCCCCAGAGATGTTAAAGGGCCCCGTGTGACCCACATGCAGGTAGATTACATCATCCACGCACAACTCAGCTAAGCCCTTGTGCGCATGCGTGAGCCCTGTCGTTTGCGTATGACGTAGCCCCCTGTGTGCTTGCGCTAGACAGCTTTTAAAAGCTGGGTGTACCATCTTCCTCTTCCTTCCTTCCTTCCTTCCTTCCTTCCTTTCTCCCTCCCTCC